GATGAACAACCTGAGACAAAGATAATGTAGAAATTATACGTTTTCTTATACAAGAATATTTTATGACTGCACATGTTGCCATACACAGATGTCCTTTGGCCACAATGATTATTTGGTCTGTATACAGTTATACAATATGTATACAGCACTAAAATATGGTATAAAGTAGTAGCAAACCAGGAATCCCACTTTAAAGGGCTTGTTGATAATCTCCTCATACTGGATTTAAACTGAATGTTGCAAAAAGCTAAATATGTTTTAATAAAAATATATGAAGTTACAAAATTAATATTTTTGGTTAAAATAAAGTACTACAAAGAGTGTGATTTTTTTTCCCTCCATCTCATTACCATCTGCATAGTCACCATTTGACATCAAATGCCTACTGAGAATGAATATTTGAGATAGATTTTTGGGCTGCGTGGATGTTGTATGGCAACTTCTAAGGCAACATGAAAGTCCTAATGCAGAGTCCAAAAGTGTAGGGAGACCCTAAAAATGTAGCAGAAGCATTTCCGCACACTGATTTCAGTAGTCAAGTCTGTGCGGAAATGATTCCACTAGATTCATAGAGTACCTTTTTGAGGCAACTGAAACTTGTCACTTCATAGCCTTTTTGACCTCTTCCAGCTCTTCTATAGGCTTCCATTTCTGATGGATTGTGAATAGCTGGAAGAAATACAGAGGAAGATATGAAAGACAAATTAGTAAAATACCAGTACGTGTTTACTGTGCTCTCAAAAAAACATTAGAAATTCCACTCCCCCCATCATACATCAACTTATAGGTGAAGAGAGTCTTCTAACCATTTTAGATTTTTCTTTTGAAAGTAAGCAAAAAAGGAAAGAAAAAAGGAAAGAAAGGATGGCATTTAATTTGTTGAAAAAAAATGCTTGATTTCAAATAAATAATAATCTGATATTCCCCAACAACATCATTTTGCTTGTCCTAGATGCTCTACCAAAGGGAGATTTTTTTTCCCTTCAAGTTGACATTCTTAGTCAATTTTGAAAATCCTGAGTCAGGAGAGCGCGACCAGCATTTCCTCTATACTCCAAACGCCCACCATTATCAACGGAATTGAGTAAATGGAAGTTGCAGTGGCTAACGCCAGTCAGAGGTAAGCTAGAAATTCAGGACTCAGAATGATACAACAGCTGAATTCTTATAATTAATAATGCAAAGGAGATACTTGACATAAAAGCAATGAAAAAAGCAATGGTTTCCACTTTTACATAGAAGTAAAAGTCAGCCTTACATTTTTTTCCATTAATATGTTGCCAATTCACATTTCAGGTGTCATTACATCCTTCGTTATGCTGGAAACAATATACAGTCTTTGCACTGGTTATATTATCCACATAAATTACCTTCTGAGGCTGGGTAGGATCTATAGCTTCCCAAGGTTCTGGATTGCCAGTCTTGTTAATGCTTTAAGAGAAGATAAAGAAAACCAGGTTCTATGTTTTAGGGCCTGATCTTGCACACTCGTTCCACATTTGAGTGGTCTCTTGTCAGCAGAGCTATTCACATGAGTAAGCACAAGTTTACAGGTTTTGGGCATTCTTGTTTCTTCATTTGCAGCTTCTAAAGCAGCAAATATACCATTATCATTTAAGTATATGTTGTATATGTGTTGTTGTAAGTGAAGGAGGTTAAATGCAAAACTGAGTAAAGATTCATAAAAAAGGTAATAGGATTCTAGGATTCTAGGATTCTTAGCCTGATGACTAAACACCCATTCCAGCTCCCTTTAAGTAAATACAAAAGCTTCCAATAGCTTAATGAGTGTAGGTCTGAGCTCTAAATTATTAGCTAAGCCATTAAAATTTTAATTTATAGTAAGTTCATACTATCAAATCCCATTTATATACACACACAACAGCATGATTGCAACACATCTGAATGTCATCCACCCTACTTGATTTTTTAAAATTCTTCATGAGAACATTTAAAGTCAACTACACCTAAAGCCAAGAAAAGTTATGACCTACTCAAGCAAAAGTCAGCAATAGGCTGGACTATGCTCCAAATTAAGTCATTTCTTCATCTTTTAAACTCCGTGGATAGCTCAGCCTTTCCTTCCACTCTCCAGAACATCCACTTAGATTTTTTTTTTTTGGGGTACAAAAAAAGATGGTCAAATACCTCCATTGAAAATGAAAATTAGTAAAGACTCCAAGGAACATGCGTTTTGCTTACATCACATCGGTCTTGCTGAGCAGGGAATAGATGGAAGCAGAGAGAGCCCCAACTGCTGCAAAAGCCACTACTCCAACCAGGGGAATAAGCTGCAAGACACCAAAAAAAGAACAAAAAAAACCGGAGGAGAGAGCTGAACCACTAGTTACGCTGGCTGGAGAGCGGGGAACAGTGGAAGTGAGAGTTGCAGACACCGAGGGAGCGAAGACCGGCGGAGAACCAGGCGCCGCTCCGCGCCGCGCCGCACTGCGCGGCGGCACCTGCCGCCCGCAGCCAGGGCAACCGACGCCTCGGACCCACTTACTTCTTT